GACTCAGTGCCCTTCCTGACCATGTCCAAAGCAATCTCTAGAAGGCTCTGTGTATTTCCTCCTCCCCATGCCCTGCTCTCTCTAAAGGAATAACATTTTAACTGAAGTTACTGTTGGTCTGATATCTAAACAAATACAAATAAACCCATGCATGACATTTTTATTTCCTATTGCTAAATTTTTCTATTTTTCTATATTCTCTTTTTTAAATTTCTTTTTGAGACAGTGCTTCTCTATTTCCAAGTCAGCTCCTTTGAGAGCTGTGGCACACTTACAGTACCTTACCAGCCTAACTCTCTCAAGAGTTGAGGCAGCCATATTGCTATTCTTTTGTTTCAGCTGTAGATGCTGATACAAAGAAAGAAACAATGGATGAACAACCCACCTGAAGTTTATTTACCAGAAATTCGGGGAGCGATGGGGCTGAGTTGTCAGCAAACCTGAGAGGAGTCAAAAGAAGGGAAGAGAGATGGGAGGCAGGACCTTTTAAAGGGGAGCTTGCATATGCGTAATGGGGTTTTGCACCTGAGCAGAGTCCTCACACAGGTCCCAATGCATGGCAGGTGTGTGCTCCCACATTAGGGGGCATGGTCATCCAGGTGTATTGTTCTTACACATATCAATACACCCACTGCTACCTTGACCTTGACGCTGGCCAGCAAATCCACTGGTGATCTGTCAGTGTGTATTCCCTTCTTTCTTAATCTTGGTGAGCTCCTCTACGATGTAGCATCCAGTACGACTACTTCTTACAGGTTCCAGCAAGGGATATGAAGATTAATAAAGGCAAAACAGCTGGTCATTCTTGAAAGAAAAATGACAATTATATGTAGGGGGTTGTTGAATTCTATAGCATTGGAAGCTCCCGAGGAAGTAACTCAGTTCAAATTCCAAGCTCTTAAGACCCTTGCCCTATGCAGATAATCTGCATATTTGTAAACAGGCCTTGTTGGCAAGAGGGAAAATAGGAAATATCACCTGGCTGTAGGCAGCCAGTAGCTCCCCAGGTGTACTGCTGATCAACCCTAGATAAGAGAAGAAAGCAGCCTCCCAGGGGGTCCCCATACCAAGGGCCACTTCGGGTCATGGCTGTCTCAGTGGAACAGAACCGGTCCCTGGCCAGAGCCCCAGCTCACCCCGGAGCCATTCGCTGCATGCTGTGGGAGCTCGGGCACGTGTGGAGCCTGGCTGCTCCCTACTGAGTGGCAGAGCTCACCGCGGGCGCCAGTGCCCTATTCCCTGCGTCCCAGCAGCCTGGCCGTGAGGGACCTCCGGTGACAGGCAAGCCGAGCACCCTGCAGCCTCTCTCAGGCCAGTGCTGGCGGGGTTGGCCCCAGAGCACAGCCATGTCCCACTGTCTTGGATCTCAGCCTGGGACCCACACCAGCGATGACAACCCGCACCAGCTCCTGCAGCAGCTCCTGCTTTTGGGAAACCTCATCAAGGAGGCAGTGTCGCGCTTACATTCACTACAAGTACAGCTACAGGCAATTCTTTCCTCACCCCGATTCCTCAAGCCTCTGTCTGCCCCTGTGCAGGAGCCACCATCACCTGGGAGCCCTTGAGCAGCCTGCAGCGACCCTGGCACTTGGGTGAGGAGGACGCTGCTCAGAACTGGGGAGGACTTTCTTGTCCCTGGCAGCTAACAAGCAGGGTAGCTTCCTCACCAGCCTGTACCTGC